TTGCCAAATAAATGCTTGGATTTCTTCATCTTTGGTACGTATTTGCACTTTCAAATTCATATCATATACATTGTTTGTCATGATAGCACCTTAAAATATTTTCAAAAATTAAGGTTCTCAGCTTTAGATTGTTTGTTTAGATTACACTATTATACTAATATTTGCTTACGTGCAGATGAAAATAGAAAAACACTACTGGATTGGGACAAACGTCTTGCAATAATTGTAGGAATAGCAGAAGGACTTCTTTACCTACATAAGCACTCTAGGTTGCGCGTTATACATCGAGATCTTAAGCCAAGCAACATTCTCTTGGATAGCGAAATGAATGCAAAAATTTCAGATTTTGGACTAGCAAAAATATTCAGCTCAAATAACACCGAAGCAAATACTACAAGGAAAGTAGTTGGTACACTGTAAGTCTCATATAAATTACTGCATTTGTGAATACTTAAATTGCAACTCGACCATATATTAAGTGGACATATATTTTTGCATAATTTTAGTGGCTACATGGCACCCGAGTATGCTTCCCACGGTCTCTTCTCTATCAAATCAGATGTCTTCAGCTTCGGTGTTTTAACTCTTGAGATCCTTAGCGGGAAAAGGAATTCTCATGAATGTGGAAATTTCATCAACCTCCTCGGACATGTGAGTGCACCTTTACACATTCGTAAAATAAAAAGAAAATGCTAGTTTATTATGTGTCTTCCTAAAGTATTTGATGAAATTTCAAATAGGCTTGGCAATTATTTGAAGAGGAAAGCTGGGTCAATCTCATTGATGCGGCATTGCTTCCCAACGGTCATTCGGAAGAAATGATGAGGTGCATTAACATTGCATTGCTATGTGTACAAGAGAATGCAGTTGATCGACCAACCATGTTGGATGTTGTCGCAATGCTAAGCAACACGACCATGATAGTAGATAAGCCTAAGCACCCGGCATATTTCACGGGGGAGAAAGAAGAACCCACTACAACTCGGTCGTGTAGTGTTAATGATGTGACTATATCTACAATAACCCCTAGATAGTTTTCTTTTGTATCAGTGTTGTATGAACTTAGATGGTGTGTAGTGCATAAAATTGAAGTACTATATGAAGTGCATGACCTTCTCGATATTATAGATGTACCATATTTTGCATGATGCATATAACCAATCAAAAATATGGTTTTGATAGTTTGTAGTAATGTCTTTTCATATTTATCGATGGTTTTAGGGCATGGGACTACTTCGAGGGATTGATTGTGTATTTACACTATGCGTAAAAACATATTACTTTTTGACCTTGACATGGTCTTGGACATGATACATTTGGTAATTACTTTTACATGTATAGGTTAGTAGAAAATATACAATAACTAAAATTTGCAATTTTCATGGCAAATACAAATACATTTTTAATTTTAGCAAGTGGATTGTTTAAATAATTTAACAGGAAGAGTCACGCGAGTTTGACGGCACAATATTTGGGATGGCATGTATCAATGTATAATGATATACTATTTTTAGCAAAATAAGAAAGCCAATTATAGTTGAAAATATTTTTCATGGCAAATAAAAAATATATTTTAGTTCCAGCAGTGTGGTTTGTTTATATATTTTGATAGAAAGAGTCACACAAAACTTAATTGTACAACTTTTAGGATAGTATATTTTTAAGAATAAACATATAGTACTAATTTTTACCAAAGTAATGAAGCCAAATAATCTTAGAAAAGAACAATAAGAGGTACATTCAGATTGAGGAGAAATTTTTCTGAAATAAGTTTTGAAACATTTATCCTTTGTATGCTATTAATATTAATATGTTCTCTTTTATATAATCATCAATATATCGCATAAATTCGATATATACAAGAGAGCTGCCATGTCCTTGTGTACTTCTCTTGTACAGATTGGTCTTGATATGCATATCCAGTACAATGCAGGCATGCGTTGCCACATCGAAACATAGTTCTTGATGAGACATCCCTACTACATACAGTTGCATCCTCAGCCCACATGACCAGGCCAGATCAAGTTTCAGAAACACAAGGACCAATTACTATAGCTTGCATAAGCCAAGTCAAATATCAAGATCTTTTGTCTCTGGGAACTTCCACTTGTTCTCATGATGATACTACCTGAATCTAATATATTTGTATTAGTAAGGAAAGAATGGCCTGCATGGACGAGAGGGACAATTATTTTAACATGAGCAAGTGTCGAGATGGCAGCCGAGGAATGAATATGGCATTTCTAGTACTAGAGATTTCAGGACTTTAAGGCTGCCATAATGACCCATGAAGACATGTACCAAATATATGGCATTTCATAATTTCGTTCATGATCATCCATAGGTGTTGCTCCACCTCAAATTTGGGTGAACACATGTACTTTTGGAGTAAAAGACTATGTGCAGTTTTGAGAGTATGTATTTAAGGAGGAGACCTACAATTCATATTGCTTCGTAAGTTCTTCGTTGTTCTTCGATTGCGTGTAGGGATTTATCTTCACGATCAAGTTGATTATCTTTTCAACACCATCAATAAGCATACCAGAGTTTGTTGTTGGTTCGTCAAAGGCTCCTCCAACAAAATAGAAACACCTTTGTACCTATCACATGGTATCAAATTTCAGGTTGCTCGGTGAGAATGCTTTAGTTTTTCTGTATTTAGATTGCATCTGTTTTTCATATTATACCCACGAAATACTACAAAAATCGGGTTAAATTCCTATCCAAACCAACCTAAGCTGTCGTAATATTTCCTTTCCGTGCATTGCATCGTTGACTTTACAAATGCATCATCATGTTGAGTTTCTCGTCTTAGGGTCCAGTCCTTTAGAGTGTTGAGTTCTGTTAGCCACCATCCTACCATCATCATCATCTCCACTGCCGACCACCACCTTTGGGCAATCGCCACCGCCCTCTTACGTCATCATAGTTGTGATCACTTGCATGTTTGCTCAACTAACTGTATTGTCCTCAGAACATAGAAAGAAGCCAAAAAAACTAGATCCAACTAAATAACTACACTCTGAATTGGGGACAAAATTAAGTTTGCGTGGTGTTCACTAAAACGGCTAAAGGATCATATCTCACTCATACTAAGTCTGTTTGGGTCCACAAGTACTCAAAATGCCGACGATGGCAAACCACATCCAAATACTACTTTAATAAATTAAAATGCAATTAATTTGTTCCAATAAAAGAACGACCCATATAGCAAGTGTGAACAAATCATTTGCTTGCATTGTGGAAATTTTCTTCCGGTGCAGTTAATTGAAATATTTTGGCCCTAGACAAACTTGTGTCAGAATTCTATCAATGGAGATATGTTTCCAATGCTACATTTTTTCTACTTTCTAGTGCAATTCAACTTTGTGACCCCATTGTTTTATCATGTTTAGATTTGTTTCCATGAAAGTACATATGTGGTCTGACCTTCTAACCCCACGAACAAGCCATAGTAGCGCGGGTTTTAAAACATGCGCTACTACTATATGGATAGTCGTAGCGCAGGTGAAACACGCACGCTACTACTATACTCGCACACCAAATACCCCCGGATCCACTCCCATCCCACCAACCGTCCCACACCACCCACCCACCGTCTGTCTCAAAAAAAATCCACGTAGCCCGATCCAGATCCCCAACCTCCTCTCCTCTAACAACCCACTCGCCGCCGGCCTCCCTTCCACCTCCACTCCTCTCCCAACCCACTCGCTGCCAGTGAGCACTAGGTGGATAGTCCACCACCACACTGTTTGCTGCCATGAGCCACTGGATGATGAGTCCGGTGAAGGTGGAGGGTCACCCCTGCCCGTCCCCGACGGCCGTCGTTAACCTTCTTGGAGGTATCGTTGCTTTGCCTCAGCACCGCTCCTGCACAGATCTGGCCATCTTGGCCTCTCTAGGGGAAAACCTTGATCTTGCATGTTCGGACGATGGCGGTGCCTTGGTGTCGTGTTCCCTCTTGGGGGCTTCGTCTCAGAGCTCGGCATCGGCAAGCGGAACTGGTGGATTCATCTCCACGTGGCTCTGCAGTGTGTATTGGGTCGACGATCGCCTACGGCGAAGTCAGAGTCGTTTTCTCAGTGTTTAGGGATGGCGATGACACCTCTAGGGGAGTAGTACTGTTTGCAAGAACAATTTAAGTACGGCTTTTTTTTTGCGAATCATAGGAGTTTTATTCCATATTTAAAGAGTTACAGTCGAGAGGCAAAAGATCCTTAGTACATGGTGGTCCTTGGTGCATCCACATAGTGGTGGCACACTCAGTACAACTATACTTTGACAGGAAGTCGACAACCCTATTTTGATCCCTAGTTAACTTTTGTGGAATAAACTCCCTGACTTTCATCAACTCCTTAATTTCAGCCAGAGATGACCATAAGCAGACCGATCTAGCCCATCCGTTGTTAAACTGGACAACGCCTCACTTGAGCCAGATTGGATAACGACTGGAAGGTTTAGTGTGTTGAATAGCAAGCACCATTCCTTGCATGATTGCATGTATCTCCATCTCCAGTGCATCAGCAATTTAAGTACGGTTAGTGATCGTAATAGCTAATATTAATAGTTTGATTTATGTCTTGGCCCGTCACTTTTTTTCTCCACGCACCGCCAAAGCAAACGTGATCAAACACAAGTACTAATAAAAAGCTATACTATGTAGCAGTCATCAACATGACTCATATCAATAAAATGCAGTACCTAAAGTCCTAAACTATGTAGTAATGATCAATCAAACACCAATATAACAACGAACAACTTGATCAATCAAATATTTTTTACAAGTCACCAACCTAATCCAATATATACAACACCTAATGATTGTACCTTTTTCATAAAGTCCTAATTAAACTAGACCTGACCTAGTGAAGTCCTTTTACTTTCCAGGCCAACCAAGTAAAATCTGCCAACAGTGCAAGTACTTTGCTGAACGATAGATGCCAGATCTCGTGGAGTTATAACCAAAGGTAGCTAGAGCTAAACTGAGAGCTTAATTGGAGATGGAATTGGGAGTTTACTACGGCATGGTAATGAGCAATTTGATGCTTGTGCTAACTGCGTTCATGGTCTCTGCTACTTACCTCTTCATGAGGAGGATGAGAGGCAAGATGAGGCTGCCACCTGGGCCAGGCTTGGCCCTCCCGCTGGTGGGCCACCTTCACCTGCTCCGCGAGAAGCCGCTCCACCTCATGCTGGCCGGCCTCGCCGCGCGCCACGGCCCCGTCCTCTCCCTCCGCCTCGGCCGCCGCGCCGCCGTCATTGTCACCTCGCTGCGGCTCGCCAAGGAGTGCTTCTCCTCCGAGCTGGACGTCAACTTCGCCAACCGTCCGCGGTTCCCCTCCGCGCGGGAGGTCTCGTTCGGCTACACGGGGCTGTCAGCCGCGAGCTACGGCCCGCACTGGCGCGCCATGCGCCGCATCGCCACCGTGCACCTCCTCTCGGCGCGCCGCGTCGACCTCATGTCCGACGCCGCCATCGCCGGCGAGATCCGTGCCATGGTGCGACGTCTTGCGCGCGCTGCCGCTGGTGGAGTTGCCAGGGTCGAGCTGAAGCGGAATCTGTTCGAGCTCTCGCACGGCGTCCTCATGGAGGCCATCGCTGGAGCCAAGGGCAAGCGCGGTGCCGGCTCCGACGCCGACATGTCCGAGGAGGCGCACGAGTTCAAGAAAGTGGTGGATGAGATCGTGCCGCTGCTCGGCATGGCGAACCTGCACGACCACCTGCCGGCACTGCTGCGCTGGCTGGACTTGGGTGGCGTACGCCGGAGGCTCACCCAGCTGGTGAACCGGAGGAACGCGCTGATGCACGGTCTGATCGATGCAGAGAGGGAACGGCGGCGGCAGGAGGAGCTGCTGCCGGAGTCGAAGAGCATGATCGGCGTGATGCTCTCGTTGCAGGAGTCCGATCCGCAGCAGTACACAGACACTTTCATCGCCGCTTTAGTCACCGTGAGTGCTCTTCCTCCTACTGCTTCGTCTTGTACGTTCACGACCAAAATGCATATATCCATGCTGCTCTGCTCTGTGAAGAACCTCTTCGGCGGCGGCACGGTGACCACGTCGGCGACCATGGAATGGGCCATGTCGCTGCTGCTCAACCACCCGGCGCGCTGCGGAAGGCGGGAGAGGAGGTGAGCGCGCACGTCGGCCACGCCCGGCTCCTCGGCAGGGACGACCTCCCAAACCTCCCTTACCTCCGGTGCATCATCAGCGAGACCCTGCGGCTCTACCCCGCCGCGCCGCTGCTGTCGCCGCACGAGTCGTCCGCAGACTGCAGCCTCCACGGGTACCACGTCCCGGCGGGCACCATGCTGCTCGCCAACGCCTACGCCATCCACCGTGACCCGTCCGTGTGGGACGACCCAGAGGAGTTCAGGCCGGAGAGGTTCCACGTTAATGGCGCCGACGGGCAGGGCCAGCAGGGGATGATGCTGCCGTTTGGGATGGGGCGGCGGCGGTGCCCCGGCGAGAGCCTTGCGCTGAGGACCATGGGGCTGGTGCTGGGGACCTTCATCCAGTGCTTCGACTGGAGCAGGGTGGCCGGAGACGAGGTTGACATGACGCAGGCCTCTGCCAAGATCTTGTATAAAGCTGTTCCTTTGGTAGCTCTCTGCAAACCACATGACAGCATGCGGGCTATGCTTCAATCAGGATCTAGTTAGTCCATCAAGTCTCCTGCCCCGTACAAAGTTGTACTAAACCAAAGACATCTATTTTAGACCTGCCACGCAAGATCTTTGGTCTTCCCCTGGAACCGATGAAAAAAAGTGGATCGCTTCTTATGTACTCGCTCAGAATGATTCTTCTCTATCTATAGTTCATGGCCTATTAGAAGTAGAAGGTGCTCTGGTGCAATCCTTACCGACAGAAAAAGATTGCAGTCAGGTTGATAATAATCGAGTGACATTACTTCGTCGGTCCGAACTAAGGAATCTGTTAGAAATGTTTTGAAATGGATATTGTTCTCTCTTTGATCAGGGATTGCTATATGAAAAGAAGTGGAGTTTGAAAAAGGGAACGGAATGCTCAAACCGAAACTGCTAGAGGAACGAATTTTCAATAGCATAACTTGGGCTCCTAGAATATCCCCCGCCCCAAAGCGAGACTCTATCCAGATCTCAAAGAATAACGAGCTAGGCGGTTGGCGGGCACAGAAAAGGGGCGGGGCGTTTACTTGAAAATGACAACCGCCTGTTCCAGCAGCGGGGGCCTTGCACGAAAGCAAACCTACGATTAAGTAGCAGTTGCTTTCGCTGATGGGACGGAGGGAGTATTATATTGCTCCAACAAACCATGCACGCAATTGCTCTGCTAAGTAATAAAAAACCATGGGTGGCGTTCGACACTTCAGATGAAACCATTAGTCACTAAAATTGAAATGCAAGTTTTCGTATCTTTCAGGCTTTCTCTCACTAAAATGTCTTCAGACTAGCCAACTGTCCTTGGATTTGTACCAATCTTTCTAATCAGTTTCGACCTTAAATGAACCCAATTTTTTTACATACAGTATATTGCGATGTCTCATTTGGAATGGAATGCGTTATGTTGATCCAAACTGAATGATGCACTGTGAGCCTTAGGGAAGATCGTCCTCAATAGAGAGAGAATCTGCAAGTAAAATCTACCCTTTATCGAAAAAAGAGAGAATCTGCAAGTGATGCAAATGGTTCGGTAAATAGGTTCCATAGAGCACCCAATTCATTCGTAAGCTTTGCTTTCTTTGACTCCAAAAGGATGATCCTATTCTCTCAAAAGAAGGTTGAAACGGATCCTCTAGATATTGCAGATATATAAACGCATCTATCAGACATTCGATAAGATCTTGACAAGATCAACAGCAAAGGCCGGTGTCAAATAAATTCATTTGATGGTGACATTCCTGAATTGCTTGGGACACTCGTTTCACATCATGTACTAGACATGTCAAGTAATGCCTCCGTTGGTGATATATTTCACAAAAAATTGGCCAGATGAGTTAACTAGAATTGCCAGAGCTATCTTGGAACTAACTTGTCAAACAAACGAACAAAGGCTGAAGCGAAGGTGGGACTGAAAAATAATTCGGCAGATTCTTTAATTTGACCACTTGGGATTATTAATAAAAAGCTAGTACTAGAAAGCAGTAGCACCCAGGTTGAACAATAGGGTATCCGCGAGAAAGCAGCACGAGAAGAAGAAAAGCAGTAGCCCATTTTGTGATAATTAATTAATTAATTATTAGAAGAGTACCTGCGCAGTGACGAGGGCGAACAGAATCAACTCGAATGGCCTTTGCACCATCTTTCCTGACAACATCTCGGATCAGCACCCTGGGCTTCCCTGGTTCCACTTATCATGAAAACATCAGCAAGAGCATGCTTGCTACAATCATCGCGAACTGTAAACAGACATCACCATCGCAGCAATTAGGGTAAGGTTCAGGTTTCATAAATTCCACACACCTCCAATGTAATTAATGGAACCGAACACCGATCTCCTACACACGCTGCTCACTGGTTCCTACACATGACACCCATGCGAAACAAAGAAGTGGCTATCACGGAGCCCATGCTGGACACCAAAGACGATCACTGTCTCTGAGCGCTTCGTGTTCGTCTTCGGCAGGCAAATGTGGATTCATGCTGTTCTCCCTCATGGCACAATTTCCGTCGCTGGTCCGACATGACCGTCACCGCAAGGCAAAAGGATTGTTTAACTGCTCATCATCCACACCACCTTCCAGCCGACAGTTCGCTTCCACGAAATAACATCAGCAAGCTGAGGCAGTTGGATCACAGGCTATTGCCCTAGCACACACTGCATGTGCGTCGGACAGGCTATTGCCCTTCCGGCAAGCTCATAATTCACAACTCTGCACCGGCTATGTTGGTTTCACTTTTGCAATGAGATGAAGGACAGAGGAATAGTACCTGAAACAATTAACGAATTACATCATCATGCTTATGTTCCAGAGCTAGTACTGTAGTACATACAGCCATGTAGGCCAAACAACATCGTATACTCCTACAGATAAGCTGTCGTAAGGCTTAAGACATGATACAACTGCATATATGCGTTCTACAACACGGAACATATGTGAACTTCAGAAGTGAAAGCAATATATAAATATGTAGAAAGTCGTATTACATCTCAGTACCCCAGTCCTCAGGGATAGCAACCTTCCAGGAAAACATGCAGTTCACTTTAATTAGATGGAAAATATTGGCACATAACCTGAGAGACCATGTCCCAAACAAATCAATCACCTTAGTTTTTGTATTGGAAGATTCTACTAGGGAACCAACGTTGGATATTTTTCCAAGCAAGCTGAAGAAAACTTAAATTGTGAGAATCCATGAGCATCTCCAGGGGAGGAGTGGCAGACGTATCAAAGTTATCTTGGAGACTGATCGCAGCTAGGGAGTTCAGGGGCGACAGGGACGGGCAAATAGGACCAACAAGATTACAATATCTCAAGCTAAGAACTCGGAGATCGGGAAGAGATTTAGAAAATGCATTGCACCAATCATCCGCGCTGCTAGACATATCCACTCCATCGAGGTAGAGCTCTCTCAGGTTGTTGATGTTGCCAATTAGGATCTGAAACTTGGGGTCCTGCAGCCATAGCCAACTAGTAACACCAGGAATTCTGGTGCCATGACCATTAAGAGAATCATCAGAAGCGGCATAGTAGAGAACAGAAAGATCCAAGTGTTGGATAATCAGCAACTGAACTTTACTGAGGGTCAAAGGCCATTACATATACATGTGTGTCAAAGAGCAGGAAACCCATTATACAATGGGGATATACCGAAGAGAGACTATACACATTTAACACCCCCCCCCCCTCAAACTCATGATGGATCAACAACACTGGATTTGGAGAGGAAAAAGGTATGCTGCGCTCGAGTCTGTGCCTTCGTGAAGAAGTCAGCCAACTGTAACTTACAGGGCACATAGTGAAGAGCGAGAGTCTGATCCTGCACAGCAGCACGCACAAAGTGGGCATCCAAACCGATGTGCTTGGTGAGCTCATGCTTCACCGGGTCACGCGCAATACTGATAGCACCAGTACTGTCGGACAATAAGTGAGTCGAGGTAGGAGCAGACACACCAAAATCCTCAAGTAACCACCGTAACCAGATCACCTCAGTCGTCAACATAGCCATGGACCTCAATTCAGCCTCTATACTAAAGCGAGAAACTGCAGTCTGTTTCTTTGTCTTCCAGGCAATAAGAGAGCCACCAAGAAAGACACAGTAAGTAGACAGCGAGCGTTGATCAGAGGGATCACTGGCCCGGGTAGCATCAGAGTAGGCCTGGAGCTCAAGAGAGCTGGAGCGGGGAAAGAAAAGACGCCGAGAGATCGTGCCACGAAGGTATCATAGAACACGGAGAAGATGACTATAGTGGACAGAGGTGGGGGCTGAAACAAACTGACTCAGGATATGAACAGGATAGGAGATGTCAGGACGCGTAACAGCAAGATAGACAAGGCTACCAATAAGGTGATGATAGCGAGTGGGATTAGGAAGAGGGTCACCATCAGAGGCACAAAGCTGAACGTTGAGCTCCATAGGAGTCACAACAGTGCGGTCATCACCGAGAGCAGCTCGAGCAAGAAGATCCTGAATATATTTTGCTTGAGAGATGTAGAAGCCATCAGAGGTCGAGGAGATCTCAATCCCAAGAAAATAGTGAAGAGGACCAAGATCAGTCATGAGGAACTGGTCGTGAAGGCGGGCCTTAACAAAGGCAATGTAGTCAGAGTCGTCACCAGTGATGATCATGTCATCAACATAAAGAAGGAGAAGAGTCCGACCACGAGGAGACGTGTGAACAAAAAACGCGGGATCATGATCACTGGGCAAGAAACCAGCGGCAGTCACCACAGAGGCGAAGCGCTCAAACCAGGCGCGAGGGGCATGTTTAAGACCATAGAGAGAGTGGTGAAGTCGACAGACCATACCATTAGGAGCATAGTACCCCGGTGGTGGCTGCATGTAACCTCCTCACGCAACTTGCCATTGAGAAAAGCGTTCTGGACATTAAGTTGAGAGATAGACCACTGACGAACAGAGACCACAACAAGGAGAGTGCAGACAGTGGTCACGTGAGCCACATGAGCGAATGTCTCATCATAATCACGTCACTGC